TAGTAAACGACCACCTCCTTCGGGCCTGACTGTTAATAATTTTCCATTGTTTTTATACTCTTGTAAGCGACCACTTGACGTACGCATTCTCTGATCCGTCTATTTTCGCTTTGTGCAATATATGTTACTTGGAATATACAGAGAACTTTAGTGAGAACATGGAACTACACATATCCTAACTTAGACATTGCATGCAATAAAGTAGATGTGCCTGGACCTCTTCTTGGAAGAGACCCCCCCGGTTCAATTCTTGTAAACGACAAGGTCCACTAAGCGACCACTCAGTCTTTTCATTTTGGGTGGTCGCTTACTGAAGGTTCCACTGTAGTAACTTCTCATAGAAAAGTCATTTCATCCTGATTGTCGTCGCTGTTTATTGCATAGGCTTTGCTTCCTTTTGCGGACTTTTCTAACCGACAGAGTTTTATTCAATCGACGATCCTAGACCACGCTTTTCGGACTCAGCTTTCAAACCAGCGTACTCAGAGTGTGGCGCCCAAGAGCTTCAAGGGATGTGAAGGCTTATTGTCAATGGGCGTTCGAATTCGCTCTTTACCTCCAACTTATCCAACTCTACTTATCCAGAAGCAGCTCTAAGTCTCTGATTCACGCCTTTGTTGCCAGTAGAGTAGACTACTGTAATAGCCTGTTGTTTGGTTCGCCAAAATATCAGCTATCTAAATTGCAGCGTGTTCTGAATGCTAGTGCTCGCTTAATTTATTGCGCCCCAAAGTAGTGCCATATCACGCCTCTGCTTCTCGAGCTACATTAATTGGTTACCTGTTTGCTCCCTTATTGAATACAAAATATTACTCCTTAAAATTAAACGTTTTGCACGATATGACACCTGATTATTTACGCCAGTTAATATTAGTTGAAAATCACGAATATCGCATAAAAAATTGTAAAGTTCACGTATCACGACAAGCAAACCACTCACAATTCACGGATTTTAATTTCGTATTTTCGCCTTTCACGAAGTTAAATGCACTTAATCCCGTATCACGCAATAACCCCTTTCACCCCCTTTACAAAGGAAGAACGATTCGAGAAAGAAAGAATCCTCGATGTGCGTACACATTTTAAGCCTTATACTGAAACATTTCAGTGCACACACTTCAACAGCTGTCACCCAGCGAGCGTTAGTTTGTCAAAGGAGAAGCTCTCAAGCTTCTTAGGACAAACCCTTCAAAACTTTGTTCGAGGAGAACGTTAGAAAATTCTAAACAAGCCTTATCTCTACAGGCTGCCCGGAACAAAAGGTAGGAAGCTTTAAAAAGGCTTTGAAAGACACAATGGGCGCACAGCAGGAGTCGTGCTTGTCTGTCTAAACCCATTTTTAACATGTGAGTAAATAAAATGTTTACAACCGACCGAGTACGTAATGTGCACAAATGACAGAGTTTACACAGCTGACAGAGTAAATGTTTACAACTGACAGAGTGAGTAATGTACACAACTGACAGAGTAGTTTGTACAACTTTACAACCGTCAGAGTAGTGCGCACGACCGACAGAGTGAAATGTTTACAGAGAGTAGTAAATGTTTACAACTGACCGAGTAAGTAATGTACACAACTGACAGAGTAGTTTGTACAACTTTACAACCGTCAGAGTAGTGCGCATGACTGACAGAGTGAAATGTTTACAGAGAGTAGTAAATGTTTACAACTGACCGAGTAAATAATGTACATAACTGACAGAGTAGTTTGTACATCCGACAAAGTAAATGTTTACAAACGACAGATGGCGTTGAGCCTCGCGACGGAGTGAATGTTTGCAACTGACAGAGTAGCGCGTGCAGCTGACAGAGTAATAGACCAATCGACAGAGTAAGTGTTTACAACCGACAGAGTAATGTACACAAATGACAGACTTAAATTTCAACCGATAGTCTTTCTCTAAACCCAACAAACAGCGCACCATACTTATTCGCTGACACTTCGCTTCGAAAGCAAGGAGCGCCGGAAGGTTACAAAATGCGGTCCAATCATTTTTTGATCCTTGCTCTCCTGTTTTCGTCGTTTTCGTTGTTGGTGCTCAAAGTTCATGGTGATTCGCCACATATTTTGCTGATAGTCTTAGATGATTTAGGATGGAGTGATGTTGGGTTTCATGGTTCAAAAATCAACACTCCAAACATGGATAAACTTGCTTCTGAAGGCGTAATACTGGATAATTACTATGTACAACCAATTTGCTCTCCAACCAGAGGTGCTCTCCTTTCCGGAATGTACCCTATACATACAGGTAAAAATGCGTAGCGCAAATTTAGCATTACTGCCATTACTTGTACCGCTTTCTTAGCATAGCTTGTTGTTTGTTGAAGTGTCATCGCTGGGTACTCGCGATTTTTTCTAACTGTTCCTATGCCATCGTTGAACTCATTCCTCTGGTTTACGGATAATTTCTTTTCCGGGTAGGGGTAAAAAAACTTCAGTTCGGTCCAGAGAAGAACTTGGTCAATACCAAGCCTTCTTGACCTGACGCTTGGTCATTAACTTTATAACACTCTTTCAAAGCGAATATATTGATTGATTGTAGGTTTACAGAGTGGAATTATACGCTCTACGGAGCCATATGGACTTCCACTTAACATCACCACCTTACCGCAGAAACTCAAAGAAGCAGGTAAGGACAAACTGACTTCAACAACCTTGTGCTCACTAGCTCCATTTACTCCCAAATGCTTGGCGTACTCAATCAATGAAAATCGATATCCAGACTGCGTTCAGTCTCTTATTTCTGTTTTTTAAAGTCGCAGTAGATGGACAGCACGAGTGAGAGGAAGAGCAGTTCTTTTTCCACTCTCTACGCCCAAATCTCCCCTACTTTTAATCATTTGTAATTTGCCGGCCTTATCTTACTTTCTCGCTCGCCCTTGGCTCTAAGGAAAGAAGGACGACCACTCCCGATCTAATCGATATCAATCGTTTTGCAAGTTAATGGTTATTGGACTGAACTGAGTGAAGTGCAATTTGGTCTGTATCTGATCGGACGGACGCGCAGCGTGACTAAAAAAAAAAAATTAGCGGATGAGGTTTTTGTGATATCCGGAGTAATCAAGGTTATTCCTTGATTATTTAGGATATCACAAAAACCGAATCTAATAATAGTTTTATTAATGATCGCTTCGAAGAAAAAACGAGAAACACACTGTCGCAAGGATGAATTGATATAATTGTTATTGGAATTAGTCAGCTATCTGCTAGCAGAAAACTAATTAATCTGTTGTTACATACGAATGACATGCGAATATAAGGGAAAAAATGTTTTGCGCTACCTTGCGCTAAATGGAATGATTCACTCAGGTTGCATTTGAGACATTATTAAAATTTGTTATAAATACATCTTTGCATGGTTTTTTAAAGTTACATTTCTCAACATTGTTTAAAAAGATAGAAAAGGCATTCAAATGTTTCCGTATGTTACTCACTTGACAATCGTATGCATCCGTTATCCTGCGTTGCAGCCGGCCCACGTACTCGTCTAAACCATTTGTACAGTCAGTGTATAGTCTATATAGAAGGTTTAGAGGGTCTGCGACGCAGGCTAGCATCCGTATGTTGCCTACATGTATCCCTATATAACCCGTAAGTTTCTCGTATGTATTCACTTAGTAAAAGCGAAGTTAAGCTGTTTCAGGGTGTAACAAATATCGACGAAATGGCTAATGCTTTTCCGACCCGGGGCCATCTTTACGCATGAACACACAGGCAATCACTGATTTTAGCTGGTAACTTGGGAACAAATATACATTTGCCAATTAAATTTTAACAATTACCATTGAAGAGTGGGACCAAAGGATCCCATTTCTTGTTTGTAGGATTTTTTGTAGATACTTGTTTGTAGGCTTCAATTTTATACACTCGTTTTTACATTTTTAGCTGAGGGGTCCTGTTGCAGGTTCTACAACCCGCCTAGATGTACTGTCTTTGGGCTCCACTAAAAACTATATTTCAAAAGCTTTAAAATGCACTCATTTTTATTTCAAAACAGGATATTCTACACATATGATAGGAAAGTGGCATCTGGGATTCTGTAGCTGGTCATACACTCCACTATACCGTGGCTTCGATTCGATTTTATGGCATATACCTTGGCGCTGGAGATCATTACACACACGAGACAGCCGGAATTCTTGATCTACATGATAACGAAACGCCTGTAGAAAATAAAGACGGAGTTTATTCTACGTATCTTTACGCTGAGGTTTGGAATAACAATAGATTCTTATTTATTCTTATTATTTTTTCGTTTAGCTATTTCACCTACCTGATCATACGGAGAAAAGAAATGTAGTACTTTTTACTGCAAAAAAATCTTCTGGATCTTGACTGTCGACTGTCATTTTTTTTTGTGACAAATGTATGAGAGCTGCGGAAATGAAATCAAGTGAAGAATGGTCCTCGCAGTTGTGAACGCACTTTATGCAATTGCGTAAGAGAAGCCCGAAAAAAATTCACGACTTCAACGTGATTTGTACCCGTGACCTAGCGATACCATTGCGATGCTCTAACCAACTAAGCTATGAAGCCACTGATGTTGGGAGCAGGTCATGTGTTCGGTAACGCGACGTCGCGGGTTCAAATCCCGTTGAAGTCCTGAATTTTTTTGAGGCTTCTCTTACGCAATTGCATAAATTGCGTTCACAACTGCCAGGATCATTCTTCACTTAACAAGATATTATGGTTGATTAGTCAGGAGAGGAAAACATTAAGGAACAGGACAGGAAGCAGTTCCAATACATGAAAGTTAATAGATAGAATAATAGAATTTAGTAGATATGAATACATATTTTATCGTGACCTGGTCCCAACACAGTAAAGTGGATGCCCGGGAGTGGATGTCAATTTCAAGCGCTTTTTATTTGCAGCAAGCACAGAAGGTTATTGAATCCCACAATGCCTCGACACCATTGTTTTTATATCTACCATTTCAAAGCGTCCATACTCCTCTGGAAGTTCCCACCGAGTACACGGAAAAGTACGAAAACATCACAGATGATGACAGAAAAATCTATGCAGGAATGGTTGAAAATGTTGATGAAGCAATAGGAAATATAACAGAGGCCATGAAGACAGCTGGGTAAGTAGATAATAAGGAGAGATCTGGACCTGTCATATAAAACATCCATTTATTTGACATCAAAATTACATTAGGGCACCCATAAGAAGTTGAAGTACCCATTCGTAATAAGCACTTACGGGTACGGAAGCAGAGGTGATAAGTAAATTCCAGGGGAGAAACAAAAGGAAATACGATATTAATCCCCGGGGGAACCCTTTACTTGTCATTCCGATAAGGGGTGTAAATCGCCAAATGTTGGTCTCACTTTGGAAGTTTTTCATTAAAAGCAAATATTTTTTACCCTCACAGATACAACTTAGGTTTGTGCGGAACGAAATCGCCATATAAAAGTAATAAAGAAACTAACTGCAAAAACCGTGGACGAAGATCCCGCTGGTTGTAAACGTTGGATCTCTAGAAAAAAGATCTAATCAGCTAAAATATCCAAAAAACTAGGAGTCCAAAGACCACTACAAAGCTGATCATAACAACGTGTTTTGTTTTTTTCATAACAATATTTCGGCTGGCCATACCAGCCTTCTTCAGGTTTACAGATGATACTGAATTTACGATAGGAATTACAATACAGTGTATTCAGTATATTCAGTATTCAGTATTGTTGAAATTGTTGAAAAGGGACAGGTGGAAATGAAGTACAACATAGAAAGAAAAGAAAAACTAATAAGGATATGGATTACAATGATTCGTCACGGCAGTTTAGGCTATTAGGTTCAAGAGTCATGGCCTTATCTATCCAATGTGACTCCCTCGCCCGGGGGGCCCTCGCCTTACGGACCGAGTCACGTGAAGAATGAATTTTCCCTAATGAGACTAACTGCATGTCAGTGTGAGAATGGTCAGAGTGAGAGAGAAGGCGTTCAGAAACATTAGTGGGTTTAGATTTAATGTTAGTTTTGTCGACTGGACGTCTGTGTTCGTTAAATTTGTCCTTGAGGCAAAAGCGACCAAACTGTGTTGAACATGAGGAGCCGCATAAAGTCCCTTAAGTTTGCTAATTACGTTGAGTGACGGTTGCTATGCTCAATTTCCTGTTACAATTTTACCTTCGATCTCGTGCATGTTAGCAGGAGAGAGACTGGCTGTCATCGATAGTGATTTTCACAGAGGCGATGAAACAATCCTAAATTTCGCAACCGTCTGTTAATATGGTTAAAACAGTAGTAGCCGGGGTAAATAAAGTCGAGTGCGGTCTTTGCAACTATCCTCCGAATCAGATCATCCCGATCAAGCCATCATTGTATGGAGTATATGTGAATTGAATTCTTTTTCACCGTATCGCGGTCGAGAATTTCTGTGTTGATTCAAAATCCTTTCCCTTAGAAGCTGTTGGCATTTGAAAGAAAATTTTAACAGATCGGACAGGTTAGGAGAGTTCAAAGTGACATGGCCAGCCTTTCTTCGTCACATTGGTTCAAAAGCGAGGCCAAGTCAGCCTTAGATCAGTAGGTTTACCTTGCGACACATTAATTCTAGTTTTTTTATGACTTGCTTAATCGTAAGACGCCTTGAAGGTAAGGACAGTGTTCGAATTTTTTCCTTTAGTTTATTTATTTCTGCCTCGAACATATCCGCGCTAAAACCTCCTAAATGCCCGCCAAATTTAATGTAGCGCGCTCGGGAGTGATCGAACAGTGTTTAGGGAGAAACAGGTCCAGCACACCTTCAACTGGAAAAAGTACCCTTATAAAGAAGTCGAAAAGCGTTATCAATTTTGTGCTACATTTTCTTGATAAACAATGGAATGTGTTGAAAATTATAGACATCCGTGTTTCATAATACAAGTACACACGTAGCGGCCAAATTGCTAGATATTTGATCTTTTTACAACTGTTTTGCTTGTTGCCTACGTTTAAATGCTACATCATGATCCAGTGCGATTTATACAGGGGAACCCAGCGAGGATATAGTTCAAAACCACTTAACAAAGCATTGTTGAACGTATTTTAGTATTCAAACGGTAGATATAGGCATATTTTTATCCCCTAAAAACTTTTCATCTGTTCGGATTTCCTAGCTGAAAGTCTAGTGATCCGAAAATTATAGGGATAAAAACTTACCTTCTCGAAAATTTCAGCCAGGAAAAGGCTCCCGAAACTTCTAGGTGGCCTTTTTTAGGGTCAAAATCCGTTAAAAATCGGTAATTATACCATTTTGTAGATGTTCGAAAATCCTAGCAGAGGCAGGCAAGCAAGAAATTTTACAACAAATGCTCCGAAAATTCTAGATCTCAAATCGTCTTCCGAACAGATATTTTCCCGAAAATTTCCGTTGGGTGCCCCTGTTTATAGTTGTCGCTACATGCTCAGATCTTTGTTTGAATTAATGCGAAAATTATCTTATAGTCTATAAGAAATAATAGTTAAAATACTCGATCTTAGCACAACAAGCCAGTAATTACTGCGTTTGCATTGTTGCATGCTTTCTCTACCTATGAAAATAATAGTTTTCCTAGTATATCAGATAGGCCAACTGACTCCCACTGGTAGCAAATTGTGCAGCAAAACCATAAATAAGGGCTATTCGAAGTATAACCCTCATGTAAAAACTTTTGATTTTGATCAACAATGAAATGAGCGACTAAAACGCGTTAAAAATAAGACACGCTCGTGTTTCCCATACCCCTACCGTCCTAAATGTACTTCACAGAGAGGGGGTTGAGTGTTGCTCGTTATTTGTAAGTCTCTGAATCTTAGCAGCTTTCTTTTTCTTTTCTATAATTTTTACAGTGGAATCGAAATGAATTTGAGTTGATTGGTTGCATCCATCGCAGTTTCCCCCTATTTGTTTTTCAAAAAAACACCATTGTACGAACGGTCTCTATTATTTTTCACGAACAGAGAGCTTTAATTCACCGAAAAACAGATTCATAAAATGTACATGGTTTAGGGTATTTTGTACGTGCTTTTTATGTTGGGTGTGTCGCCTGATTAAAAGCGAGCGATCGGGTGAGTCGCCTTCGCTTAGTGCAAGAAGACTTTGTAAAACTTATACATCAAATGAATCTTTCTGTAAAGAACGAGACGGCTTAGCAAGCTTGAAAAATAGTTTTGGAAAACGTCTTGCCAAATATATTTTTCTTTTGTTTGGGGATTGCTAAAATTGTATTTCAACTAAACTCTGTAAAATTCGCAATTGAACTTATTCTTCGGATTCAAAACAATGACCAATGTTCTGTCTGCACGTGCTCTTTTGGGTGAGTCGCCTGAAAAAGCAAGCGATCGGGTGTGTCGCCTTCGCGTAGTGCAAGGGAACTTGGTTTTCATTGGTTATGGCTCGCAAGTCCGTTTTGAACGAAATAAATGGTTTCAGTCATAATTAATGAACATCATATAGGTGACCTTGCAAGTTTGTATTATAAGAAAACTATAGAACCTTTTTACGCCGCGAACAGGATAAATAGAATACTTCACTGGCCTTTTCTCAAAAAACGGGAATAGTCCAGCTTTAAATTCTGCTCCCCAGAAAAAGCTACAATCAAAATTATTTAAATTTGTAGTTTAAATTCAATTAAATTTTTTTAAATCGCTGCTCTTCGTTCATTTGTGGTAAATAAATGCATATCGATTCTGAGGTATCCCCGGTTTGATAATTTGTGCAAAACTCCTCTACACCGCCACAAGTTTTCCGAGTGATGCACTGTTTCGGAGTGATTTTTATTTCATCAGGTCCTTTTCTTAAGTTGTGTTCGTCTCATCAGCTCAGCTTTATTATTTCTGTAGTGTCTGCTAAAGATATGTCGAATAAAGCTTCATAGGAGGTCACGAAAGGAGATTGGCATTTCAGCTCAAGTATGGTTTCAAGCTTTCAACGGTCTATGCTTGGATGAATTTAAACAATGGTTTCCTGGTCAGATGGGGGACAGATTTTCCCCCATATTTCGGTCGCTAGGGCTTGCGGCTCGCCATGTGACAGTGTCGGTGTCAACATTTTTAGCGGAATTAAAATCACTATAGCGCTTATTTGATTGCCTGTTCTAGTATGGTCTCTTCTAGGGCTTAAAATATTGAGCTTAAGCCAATTCTTGAGAAATAACTTGTTAATAACTAAATCACCGCTTCGTGTCAAACGAATATTTATCCCAAGTATTATATGAAACGTTACAAACAACAAAAATGAACTTTGAAAATCTGATATGCTATCAAGTTTCCAAAATCCACAATTGCAGTCCGTTAATCTTCAAGAATATCCATCCTCAGCTCCTTTTGTATTCGCCGTGTTAGTTGTACCTTCTTATGTGTCACTTAGATTATTCGTTTTGCTTTACTTTCTGTTTAGTTTATGGGACAACACTTTGTTGATTGTGACTACTGATAATGGCGGGGCACCTGATGATGGTGGTTACAACTGGCCTCTTCGTGGTGAAAAAGGAAGCCTCTGGGAGGGAGGGGTCAGAGGAGTGGGTTTTGTTCATGGAAAAATGCTGCAGAGGACTGGAGTCACGTGCAATGAGCTTTTTCACGTGACTGACTGGTACCCAACCCTCCTCTATCTTGCAGGTTTGCCCCCATTGATTGTTACAAATACTTAGATCACGTCACTCCTTTAGATCACTGAAGTGCTCTGTAAGAGTTGTTAATTGTCCATTTTTAATTAGTAGAAAACCAAAACGCTATTAACCTTGCTTCTTGTTCCTTGTAAGGCATAGAAGAGGATTCTGATAGTTCAGCGCTGGATGGGTACAACATATGGTCCGCAATTTCTGAAGGAGCCGCATCAGAAAGAACAGAGATTCTTCACAATATTGACGGAGACACTGCGGCAATTCGTGTGGGCGACATGAAGCTATTGTTAAACGTAACCAATAAAGACTGGTACAAACCGCCAGAGCTGTCCTCTGAAGCAAGGAAAACGAAAAAGGTATTAACAAGAGAGCATGATGGAACAGAGAGGGAAACGCCCAGTCTACTGAGCCCTTGGGACTGATGGGTATTTCACCAAAAATATTTTTAGACCAATTAAACGCTTGAAATTAATCGGAGGTTGGTTTTCAGAGAGGTCGGCAAACTTTTAATCTATGGTTTTAAGAGAAAACTCAACAGCCACCACTAATAATTCTGCATTGTTTGAGGCAGTCACATTGCTATGGCACTCATTTTGCTATTTACTAGAATGGTATCTTCTAGGGGTGAAATTAAGCTAAAGGCCATGCTGGGTTTAATCCCAATTGCCCGAAGGGCCTCCCTGCCCGCTTTACAGATCGGTCACCCCTTCCCCCCGCTCCCCCACACGCAGCTGGGTATTCCGTACGAGACCAGTTGCGTTATCCACTGGATAGAGGTTTTTCCACTGCAAAGCATTGTCCATAATTAAATGAACTGTTGCCATCCACGAATTCTGAAGCATACACGAAGTCACCAATACCGTGCTGACGTGCTGATTAACTGTTATATCCACTTTCCTTCTTTTAATCCTACAAAATTAATTATAAACAAACTAACGAGCTGCGATTTGCTATTTAAAATCTTATCATCCAGTTTTAGTTAAATGTTTAGTTGTAACACGGCAAGACACATTGCTTCATATACATATTTTCTTTAGTCTTCTTACTGCCTTCCTTTGTTATCCGCAGAGATCTGGTGGCACAATTAGAGTTGCACTTTACAATATCACCGCTGACCCATATGAAAGTCAAGACCTCAAAAGCACGTACCCAGCTTTGGTAAGGACGTTAAGAAGGCGAGTCACATATTACAAGACGGGCGAGGTACCTTCTGGGAAAGTTGACGCTGATCCAGAAGCAAAGACACTGGCGCTCGAAAATGGGTATTGGGGCCCATGGATTGACTGAGATTTGAAATCTGAAAAAATGAAAGTCTCTTCACGGATAAAATTTTTTCAGACAGGGATAGATTAGCTTAGGTGATTTTATCGACGTTTATAGACGTGCAAGATAGCAACAGCTTTTATTTCGATTCGTTAATTGACAGTTACTTGTTATTTTAGGAAGATAGTACTGATTTTCATTATGCTCTGTTTTCTCATGTTGCTGCAGATTGGTACGAATAAAGACTATTGCTGTTGACAAAAAGAGAGAATGAATTCGATAATAGGGTCACTCTCCTATCCGGGTCAACGTTTCCTCATATAAACAATCTGGCTCACCCAACTGTTCGTCTAGGCAGAGCGTGAGCGAACGATGTTAGCTTAAGTAAAGGTGTCAACTTTTTCCTTACTTAAAAAAAAGAAACTGGGAAAAAATACTCCGCAGAGAGGGCGACTCTCTTTCCCGGATTAACGTTTTTTCGTATGAACAGTGTGTGAGGCTGATATCGGGAAACAGAATGGTCATAATACTCTATACAATGCAAAGCAAAGCAAAGTTGACCGGTGTTTTACTGGAGGTAATATTTTTTTATTGTTTTCTGATAGTACCGTTCTTGTTATTAACCCTCGGACGTACATGCAAATTCATACCCCACCGTGGTACAAGTGGGTGGGGTGGATGGACCCCCCACTAGAGTTTTTGATATGTTGCAGTGTTTCGAAACGATTTTACCTTCGGTGGAAAGCCTTTGATATTCTCTACAAGATGAGGTATATTTTATGGGTGGTGGCGCTGCTGGGGGGCCTGTGACGTCACCAAAAATGGCCGCCATCTTGGATTTTACCAAGAATTAGAAATCAGGTTAAAACCGCGAGAAATGGTGATTTTTTTTTTTTGTGCCTGGGAAGAAAAATAACACAAAATAAGCACTTTGAATAATTTTAGCCTCAAGATTTACTTTTATTGTTGAAAAAAAGTTGAAAAAACATGTACTTTCACTCGAAAATGGCTTGATCACCTCCTACTTATGACGTTATATCTCGTAACCATAATTAAACTCTTCGCCAATAGATGAGCTTGGGAACTGATGCCTTAAAGGTTGGACGGGAGCCTGAACGCCTCAGAATCCGCAACGATTCGCTTAAGCAACAGATCCGCAAAGATCAGCTCAAAAATGCCAGCGTGAGGAGAGATGCAACGTAAGTCACAAGATAAGCAAAAGGCCCCTGCGGTCACCCCAAAGATCACGTACGCTTGAGGAGGAGACCGCTGACCGCATTGGCTTGCAGTTTAACTTTGCCTAAATTACATTTAGCCACATAAGACTGACCATCACTGAACTCGACTCAAAATGAGCGCAAGGGATGAACGAACAGCTACTGAAAACACCAGGTGCTGATGTTTTGGCCTCTAGGAAAAAACTCAGAAAAACCTCGCAAGGGGGTGGCATCCACCCCCTTGCACGTCCGAGGGTTAATATTATTTTTACTTTTTTTAAATAAAAATAAAAACACCAGGAAAAAAACAATGCTATAAAAGCCTGGAAAAAGGAGAACCTGAAAATAACGAAATCTCAACATTGGTATCATATACCTACACTTTGCAAGTTTTTCGATTTTCAACCCTTTATTACAGGCCTTGTTGCATAAAGAAATAATATAATTATAAAGACTAGAGGTTACAATCGTAATTGTTGGAAGCCGGAGGAGGTTGATCCAACAATCGGTTGTATGGTCCTCTCTGTAAATTAAATTAGACATGAACTACAAAAGGACCGCAAACGAATTTGCCGCAGAAAATAGGATCTATAAGAAGACCTGATCAGCCAAATTCATACAAAGTACAGAAAAGTAGACACATTGAATTCCGCAAAGCTGATCGAATTACGTGAAAATAAACTTTGCAAGACATCAACACGACACCGAAAGAACCCTAAACAAAGAGGGGTTGTAGTCGTCAACTGCTGTTTCGCCATTATTGTGGCTTATCAAGACGGCGTAACAAACAGAGAATATCTGCTGAAAAATAAACCGCTCGCTCTGATTTAAGCCCTGACATTGAACTTCAACACCGACAGAATCACGCTATTTGGGGGTCAAAATTAAGTGATACATTTTACATGGCGAATTAAAATAACCCAAACATTTTACATGGCGGATTAAAATAACCCATACATTTTACATGGCGAATTAAAATAACACAAGCATTTTACATCGCGGAATAAGTAACGCATACATTTTACGTGGCGAATTAAGGTGACTCGACCCAGTTTTTTTGGGGGGGGTACCATCCTACTTTGAAGCTCTCTGGTATCCCCACCTTTACTTTTATCGTAAGTCTAACACATAGAATGGATAACATATAGATCAATCTACAATATAACATAAAATTTTTGGGGATCGGAGTAAATGTCACGTGGTTATAATGCCACGCCCCTTTGAGGTCTGAGTCGAAAATCTGCTGTTGCCGGCATTTTTTCGTGAAAATCTCTCGGCTACACATAGTGCGCATTAGTGCCTTGCGCTGAACAGAGTTTCACCAAAATCGCAAAGACCCAATTCGAGAAATTCAGCGGTTTCCAAATTTAGGTCATAATTTATGCGAAAATGATAAGCAAACTTTACACGATTATATCTAATAAACTATGAGATTCATCCCTTTATTTTGGGCATCGTTATAACAGATGGGTCCTTGCAAGTCACCAAAACGCTTTAGGGCCTTGTAAATGCGCGCGATTTCGAGCAAAGCAAACTTTTCGCTATTTGTTGACGTTTGTCAGCGTTTAAGAGTCCTTCTCACGAAAAAAGCATTTTCTTAAAAATTCGTAGTTTTTTTCCCCTCAAATTTTTTCAGGGCCACAATTGATTAGCTAACTACCCGGATTCTGAATTTCATGGTCATTGAAAAACTGTGACATTATCTTCTATAAGCCCAAACTTGAGTAAACATTGAAGATTTTTTAGCGTTTTGGCTGAGTTTGTGCTTTGGGAGTTGTCTATTGTTTCTAGTCTGTCATGATACAGCATTTTTGTTCAGCACGCGTGCAATGACCGCGCTTGGCTGACTTCCAGTCGTACCGTAACTTGATTGCATCTCTAAATTCCTTCTTATTCAGTTTGTAATCCAGCTCTTTGAGGGGAATTACGGTCAGCCAATTTGTTCTCTGTAGCTAACTCAACAGCTCGCTCAGCTTTTGTCGACAGGGAATTCTTCACTTGCTTGTTTTCGTGTGCTTAGTTGCAGTGTTTGAATTTCTGAGGCATCTCAGTGGAGGCTGGTGCTCTTGCTCAACAATTCGCCTCACCTGCGGATCAGTAACTTCGATTGAAGCCTCGTATTCAGAAGATGAGGTCACTACAGGATCTGTAAACTCAAGGCCACCCATGCGCACAAGGAGACCAAGGAGGTCGCGCTCTACTTTAGTGGCTGTACGGTCAGTGACAGCTGGCATGAGAACCTCATTAATCTCGCGCTCGAGTGGCTCAATTAATTCTGCAATATCCGGTAATGTTCTTTGGAAATATGTCCAACGGTGCCGCAGACCAAAAGTGAAGGCTGCATAGCTGGCTTGAGGCTGTGATATGGAGAAATCTGCGAGTTTAGTAATATCATTGACCCATTTGTCTACTTTCTCGCCAGTATTCTTCAAGGAACGATCTAGATCCTGGAGCCGCGCCTAAGTGCTTGTGGCCCTCTATGGTGACGTTAACAGCAGTGTCTCTAAACACCTCCCTGGCAGCCTGTTCTCGTTCCGGTTTGATGATCAAGCAACATTTCTTGGCATTAGGGAAGTAACCCAGCGGAGGGCCACTCTCTGATAGTTGTTATTGTTGCAATGAAAATTCTTGTTAGTCTCTGTACATTAAATAGACATAAACTACGAAAGGACCGCGAACGATTATGCCGCAGAACGTAGGATCTGTAACAAGACCTGATCAGCCAAATTATACAAAGAAGACAACTTGAATTCTTCAAAGCTGATCGCACTATGGCCAGGTAC